GGACAGACAGGGAAAGAAGACATTCTACCGATCAGCCCTAGCACGGAGTAATTGTACCAGCATCGCATTATACCGTCTGGCTAGCACCGTTTGATAACCCTTCCAGAGAGCAAGGGGGACGCATGCAAGTTTCTTCATGAGCTTTACCCCAAACGACAAGAGGAGGCGACGGGAGTTGAACGCACGGGCATGAGTCGAAACTTTAACGGTGATAACCTTTCCCGAGAAGGAAAAAAGGGTTGGCCGACGACTTCCCTGCTCGAGCAAGCGGTGGAAGGTTACGAGGTTGAGACACGGCACGACTGTTGGACATGGCCTCTACGGAGTATGCGCTCGCAGGTTCAAAAGCCGTGCATTGTAAGGAAAGCGGCGATGACATTCTCTCTGTTTGGGGTGATATTGAGAGGGGAGTCGATGGAGCGAGCAACGAGACGGGATCAATATGGCCCAGGGCTTTTGCAAGTTGGTGAATCCACAGGGCTCAGGGCAAGGGACCGGATGATTTGGACCCTGCAGCTACCAGGACTATGTCAGGTAAACTAACCTGTGTTGGCAGTGCTAGTGACAGCTCGGTGAGGACTACAGTAGCATCGGTTTGCGGATGCTGCAAATTCCTCTGTCGGTCGTATTTGACCCGGGATACAGGCGGCAAAAGGGTCTAATCAAGGTTCGAACAACAGATGGAGGGGTTACACGGCGATGGCGGGTCCTTGCTGACCGTCGCATTTCTCCGAGCGAGTTTTTGCATTCTTTAGCTTTCTTTGATGCTGGTAATAGTTTGAGTCGAATACCAAGGTACCTAGGTACGTTACATCGCCGAGAATCCTCGGGCGAGGAACTTATGGGGAAGAAGAAGAAAATCTAAGGGTTTGAGATTGAAGGTTGTTGTTGAGTTGCGATATCACTCGGAGCAACTTATACAACGTACAGCACATACACGCTACTTGTGTTGGCCCGACGGAGATTATCATGGCGCCTATTTTAGGCGCTAATACGGTGCAGAATGGTGCGAGGCCCCGGCAACGACGCAAGCACAGCTCCCTTTCCCTGCAGACAATTTGTGTCGAACGGGCGTAATTCTTTTGGCGAGAAACGCATGGATCAGGAGAGAAGAAGGAAGAAATGAAAGATGCACAACAAGGCATCACGGCAGAGAGTTTCCGGCGTCATGTCACAGACGTTGTCTGATTCACCCGCTTAGTCACTTTCCGCGGCACTCACCCAGACGACGGGACAATGGAGGCTTCGGAATGCACACCCGAGCGTCCGAAGCGAGAATGGTGTCGAAAAGTCGTCTTACATTGGCTGGGAAGATGCGCGGCCGCCCGGGGAGTTAGGCGTGATCCCTGGTTGAAGATTTGGTTCGAACGGACGGCCAAGGTTACGGAGTTGCATGGAATTTGAGTTACTGTGCTCCGTACTAACCGTTATACGGCTGCCTGGCACTGCTCGTGTACGGAGTAGCCAGTTGCAGCAGCGTTCCCCTTTCAAGAGCAGTTCCACCGATGCCGGTATTGGGTAGGCAAAGGGGTGTCGAGTTGGGTTGGGCCCAGCCCTTTGGGGGGGGAAATCAAGATCTCGAGGCTGCGATACTGTATGTATTCGTTACAGGTATGTAGTTCTGTGGCTTATTAGTAGTTTTGCTCGTATGTAGATGTTGGAAACCGCTTCGGTGAATTGGCCGAGGCTGGCCAATGAGCAGCCGCCAAAACACCGAGCAGCAGCTTCGAATACGCCGCTTTCCGAGCTTCAAGCTGCTGCTGTAGCTACGCCTTGCCGTCATGGTTCAGAATCCTTTGGGGGCTCTGGATGTTTCGCGCGCATTTCTTAACGTTGCAATTCATTCTCGGAGAAAATATCCGCTGGATGCCGCTGTTGCGTGCGTCATTTCACGGGTGCTAGGCCGTACCTCGTGATTTGAAGACAATTTCCTCTACCTACTACTGTAAAGAAGACCAAGACAAAAACACAAACAAGAGAAATCACCGAAGTCGTTGCACAACCAGCTCCACCTGGTCAAAGTCATGGATCCCGTATCGATTGACGACATCCCAAAGGTTCCTCCTCCTCCAAACCCTGCTGAGAAGAAACGCCGTCGACCGCCGCTCTCTTGTGAGCAATGCCGGAGGCGCAAGATTCGCTGCGATCGCACGCAGCCGTGCAACAAATGCATCGAGTCCAACGCCCCGAGCTGCACGTATGCGCCGGTTCACATCCCGGCGTGGCGGGCCAAGAAGCTGGATCTCATGGCCAACGGTAACGGCAACGGCAACGGGGATTCAGCGGTCGATAGTGCGGCAAAGAGTCCGTTGAGGGCCATCAAGGCGGCGGAACCGAGGCCCGAAGCTCCAGGAACAGACACGATGGACTCGCTTCACCCCGTTCTGCCGTTTGTCGGCGTAGACTCTACCAGCGCGTCTTCGTCAAAGGTCGTCAGCTCGCTGGCTGCGTCTTCTTCCACCTCGTCGTCGCCCAATGTCGACTGGCTCGTTGCCCGGGTTCACCAGCTGGAGGAGAAGCTTGCCAAAGCTCTACGAATCAACGATGCTCAAGATGGGCAGAAGAGGCGTCCGTCTACACCGGAGATGGCGGAGCCTGGGGATGGATTCGTGGCCAAGTCCCGGTATTTCGGCCACACCCACTGGATATATGGTGTCAATGCTGTGAGTTTTTCTTCTTCTTTCTTTTCTTTGATATGCAGCGTTGTTTGGCTAATGAGAATTCTCTTCCAGCTCAAAGTTGAGCATGATATTGTCGGTCAAGACAAGATTAATCAGGGTGAATTATATGCATCACTCCTTCGATGCAAAGCAATTGGCCGCAAGATCAAGAAAAACCGCCTAAAGCCGCTCTCCTCTACTAATCTCGGAGCCCATATGCCTACCAGAGACCTGGCGGATGTGCTCGTGGAAAACTATCTCCGCACTTTTGAGGGTGTCTTCCGAGTTGTTCACATTCCCACGTTTCAAGCTGAATATGCGAGATTCTGGGAGGACAGCCACCCGTCCAACGAATCTTTTCCCATCCTGCTCCAGCTGGTCCTGGCGCTCGGAGCGGCGTTGTACGACGATCACTTCTCCCTGAGGCCAATGGCAACGCAATTCATTTTTGAAGCCCAAATGTGGCTCATGATTCCGCCAGAGAAGAAAAGGATGAACATTGAGGGCATTCAGATACAGTGTCTTTTGCTCCTCGCCAAGTCGACCTGCAACGTCGGCGTGGACATGGTGTGGATGATGGCTGGAAACCTGGTGAGGAATGCCATGTTCGTAGGCCTTCACCGAGATCCGCGATATCTCGGAGACCTGACGATCTATCGAGCCGAGATGCGGCGTCGTTTGTGGGCGACTGTCCTGGAGCTGAATCTACAACTATCTTTCGAAGGCGGCGGTTCGCCACTGCTGTCTACAGCTCACTACGATACTCTTCCTCCCGCCAACTTGAACGACGACGAACTCACAGACGAAAAGGACAATGGCAGGTTGAACATGAAAGGCCCAAAGGTGCCCACTCAGACGTCCATCCTGAGGGCTCTGTTGGCAACGATCCCGCTTCGCATGAACCTCATCAACCACGTCAACAACACGAGGCCGGGCGACCACTATGAAGAGACGCTGCGGTTGAATTCAGACCTGACAAAGGCCTGCCGGGCCATCTCAGAGGCTCTTCAATCTCTCCAAGCGGTGCCGAACTCACCAGTTACACAATTTCACGTCTTGGTCACGGAGATTTGTCTCTACCGCTGCTTCCACGCACTCCACCAACCGATTATTGTCAAGTATCTCAACGACGCCAGGTTCTACTTTTCCCGGCAAATGTGTCTGGACAGCGCCATGAAGATTACACACATCTGGGGATTCCCGGATGCCTGGTGTCAAGAGCAAACCGTCGCCTCCGAAGCCATGGATGCAGACCTCAAGAGGCTGGTCACCAACGGAACGGGCATGTTCCACAACGTCGCATCGCAGGCCATGATCATTGTCCAAATCGAGCTTCTCAACGCAAAGGCCGGCCAGCCCACGAGCCTAGGCTATCTCCCCACGGTCGGCAGCGCCAATTTGCACGCCCGTCTCGAAGCCACGCGGGCGTGGAAGCTCGAACGAGTTCGGTCCGGAGAGACAAACATCAAGGGCATCATCTTCGCGGCAGCTTGCCTCGCGCACGTCGAGGCCCTGGAGCAGGGCGTCGATCCCAAGCAGAGGACGCGCATGATGTTTCAAGCGGCGACGGAGGTTGGCCAGCAGTGCTTCGAGATTCTCAAGGAGGTCGCCGAGCGGGAAGGACTGCCCAGGTCCAAGTGGGAGGCTGAGACAGCGAGCCTCGATGGCAGTTCCCTGGGGGACATTCCTATGGACTGGATGCAGGATTGGACGTTTGAGGACGGGCAGGGCATCTCGTTTCCGCAGTGGGATCCTGAATTTGACAGTGGTGATTTCATGGAGGAGCTGGGGTTTGACATTGGTGAGTTTTAGGTATACGCGTAGGCAAGTAGAATCTGGGGTCTGTGATGATGCCACTCCACTCGAGAAACAGTTCCGCTCTACTGTACTCTATATATAGATTTGCTGAGAACCTCCTTTTTCTTTTCGTGATAGTACTAACCGCTTTCTGGGGAAGGCAAGACATTGTCTCTGGCACTTTCGTTCACGCACTCCTCCCACCTGCCCGAAACAGCAGCGCCCGTTGACTCTTGTACAGAATGCTGTTGGTCGATGGGTGGACGAAGAGGCATCAGCTACGTCAAGTGTCTCTCTTTTGCTCCTGCGTCGAGTTACGTTTCTTCCGAGTTGAAAAAGGATTCCTCCCTGCAGGTGACACCGCCATGTTCAGCTTTTCGTCTCCCTCATAACTTGCATGGAGGAAGAAAGGGGCTCTTATAAGAAGGATCGAGGTGGCAGCTCTACTATTGTCGATTTCGGCTTTTTCCAATACAAACAACCAACGAGATCCAAAGTTGCATCAGTTCAAGACGCTTCAAACCCAGGCAAATCGCATCCATCATGACTGCTCTCAAAACCAACGTCCTGGTCCTCGCCACGCTCCTCGCAAAGCTGGCCACTGCTGAGCCGAGCGACAACATCGTCATCCCCAGCACCTTGCCCGGCTGCACGTCCACCATGACCCTCACACAGTCTCGCCTCTCTACGCCGCCGTTCTGGGCGCAGTGCTCTTGGGATGGGACTATGACCGTGTATCCGTCGACCGTCACGATTGATGACCCGGTGGACTGCCATGGCTGCACGGATATCCGAGTCACGGCGGTTCCTGCTGTGCATTGTCCTGCCAAGATCATTTCGACGGTGGTGCATGTGGCGACACCTTCGACGACTTATCGCACTGTTTGCTTTGTAACCCCTGCGCCTACGGCTTGAGTTTGGTGGTGAGAAAGTATCGGTGAGGGGGTGGGGAGATGGCTGCTGTTTAGTTTTTGATGGGTAGGATGGAGAAAGTATGGGATGTATTTTATTGATCGGCCTTTTGTTTGACTCTAGTACGGATTTCAGTTGTCTCGAAGCATGTCAACTAGTGATTCCGTAAACTGCAGGGGCTTATACGGGCCATTGTTACAAAAGCTATTATACCTGTTATTACGTCTTGTGAGATGGTCAACTTGTTGGTGCAATTTACGATTATTGAACTTTGTTTTGCAGATAATGTGTGGAATAGAGACTCTTATCGCCTGTATACAGTTCACGATACTCCCCAAGCTTCAAGTAGCCGTATCCATGGTATCGACTGCAAAAACGCCACCAGCTGATTGGATTCTGCCGCCAACTCAAACAATTGCCATCGTCTATCCTTTGGCCTCGGTGGGGTTTCACTTTACCTACCCAAAGCTTGAGCCTATTGCAGAATCTACCTTTACATTATGTCTTAAGTACCTACGCAGAAAGCCTAAGATGAGGCGGCACTTGAAGTTGCGGGGGATACCTCAAATAGTAGGTAGGCAGTGGTATATTGGAAACTCTAACTCTTTTCTGCCCCTTTTTTATCTTATTTCTTCTCTTTTACTTTTTGGCTTTGTCTGTTGACGCTTAGAAAAAGACTTTCGCCTGATAGTTTATGAGTTGATGTATATAATGGCGCTCTTCCCTCTTCTTCCCCCCTTTTCCCTCCTCTTCTCTTTTCTCTTATACCGCATTCTAAGATTACTCTCTTCCCACAAACCAACCCAAAGCAAACAACGCGCAAGACAAAACGAAGAAGCAAAAATGACAATGCTCCCTTCACTCAAGTCCGCCCTCGCCGTGGGCGCTCTCGCTCTCGCTGCCACGGCAAGCCCCGTCTATAAGCTCAACGAGACAACGCCGGTACGTTCTTCGCTCAAAGACCACTCTCACATTGCGTGAAAACACACAAAACTAACTTTCTCATCAAAAGACGGTCTTTCCCATGCCGTCGTTTGTGACAATGACCAGGCAGTTGACCGTGGTGGTTGAAACTTCGCTTGTTGACTGCGCCCATGGCTCGCTTCCGACGTTGCCCCCGGCGGTGGCTTTCGATCGTGGTCTTACGGCGGTGACTAGCACTCGGTATTACTGCGGTGGCTTGGCGGCTCCTCAGATGGGCGTTCTTGAAGAAAGGGGGGAAGATGCTGTCCCTGATGTTGATGAGGAGGATGTCGAGGAGAGAGATGAGGATGAGGATGAAGACGAGGACGACGAGGAGGATGAGGACGACGATGAAGACGATGAAGACGACGACGACGACGATGACGATGACGATGACGGCGACAACCTGGATGACGATTCCGAACCTGGATATTTCGTTGAACATTTCAAGCGCCAGAATTCGGATTGCACATCTCGACGCATGTTAGGCCCCTCGCTCGACTTTGGTGGCACCAGCACCGTCTACACCACCACCTCAACCGTCTCTCAGCTCGTCAACTGCGGCCGGTGCACCGCCGTCAAGACCGTCCCTTTCTTCTCCCCGGGCTACAAGCCCGTCCCGCTCCCCACCTATACCACCACAGTCACGGCCATACAGGCCTCCAGGACGACGCTGTTCAAATGCAAACCTCATCCCACACAGTACCACGTACTTTCCAAGAGATCTGTTGTGTTCACGCACCTCACCAGGGTTGATCATTGGCCCCCGGCACTTACCACTTACACGGACTTCCCCAAGGGGCGTGACGAGGTGGGGTGCGCCTATTATTATAACCTCCTCCCGTCACGGCTGGGCAGCGTCCGAAAGATTTACAGTGCCACTCGCACGTCGACGGCGCACAAGGACTGTGGTGACTGTGCGTTGGTCTGGGCCACGGCTGCGTATCCTTATTCCGTCGGGCCGTTGCCAACGACCAAGACTAAGAAGGGGAAGACGACGGTGACGGCCATGGCGTGCAGAACACCGTAAAGAATAAACCATTGGTGGCAAGGGAAATAGTTTGATGATGCGCAGGGCGTTTGGCTGGCGCATGAATTTGGTTCAGGATGTTTTACTGATTTGATATTTTTTTTTGGGGGGGGTGAATCATGTCTTCCTTGTTTTACTGGAAGATGTCATGGTAACAATAGTGTTGGTAGTTAGTTGAATATAATTAAACATCGTTAATCCGTGTCATCTCTGTCTCTTCGGTGTGCTCTCATCTAGATTCTCCGTCCGCAGTGCTGGCGGTGGTGTGGCACTCTTGGCCAGTAGATTCCTCGTAACATCAATGCGCCAGATAATCGGACCGCGCTCCTCGTCATGGCGTCTGTTGGTCTCAACCCATGTGCGAATCTGACCCCGTACTTCCTTATTCGACGTGATGGTGACATTGCCCGTCGCCCAACCGTACATGTAGATGCTCAGCTTGGAGCTCTTGAACGCACCGCACTTGGCAACGTCGAGAGCAACCATGGGGAGTCGGCCCTCAGCTACCGCCTGGTTGACGGTAGATATGGTCCACGTCTCGTCGAGGATCTTGATGGGAATCTGCACATTGTCAGGAAGAGGATGGACAGACAGCTCTCGGAAGCGTTTGCGAATGTCCTCGACCGGCATATCCCGCGTGGTGTCGTCAAAGGGGACCAAGAGCCTTCCACGCTCCCTTTCGGTAGGCGTGCCGACGGTGCGGAGGACTTCGTGGAAGTGCTCTGCGGCTTCTTGCGTGCAGACGAGGGTACGGCTTTGTAGGATTGGATACAGGGCGCGCACCATGACGCCGCCCTGTTTTCGCTCTTCTTCGATCTGTAGCCGCGTTGTCTGAGCTTGCCATGGTTGGGGCTCGAGTTGAAGGTGGGTGATGTCGGAGATGAGGTCGATGAGGATCGTGTGATCCATGTTGAGGGTGTCCGTTAGACCATCAAATTCGTCTCCTATGAGATTCCGTATGGCATCCTGGATAGGTGGAGGTTGTGCTTGCATGAACACGCTGCCGGCATCCTCCACAATGATGTCAACCAGGGGGTCGAGGCGGCATATCTGATCCAATAGCACATCGATATCTTCGTTTTCTCCTCTCATGAGGTTTGGAAAGACGATGCGTAGGCGGGGAACACGATACTCGTGCCGGTTCATTTTAGCCGCCGCAACGAGCCGTCTCACCTGCTTGGCGAGGGGCGTGTCCTCCCATTCTTCCGGGTCGACGGTATCCCCCAGCTCATGGTCACCCCATCCCCAGCCGCAGTCGGTCATCTGTCGAGCCAATCTGTCCGCCTGAAGCCATCGAATGTCGAGCCATTCGCTTCCTCCTTGGACCACGTCGACTTCCACCTTGGCCCGTTCTTTGAGAGTTCGATTCAGCTGCTGCTTTTCCCTCCCGTTGCCAACGATTTGGGAGGTTTGCTTCTTCCGGTCTTCCTTGGCCGACCCCTGAAATGTCTGATCGACGACGAGAAAGGCGTGAGACCGCTTGAGGATCTCCCAGTGAACCGCCTCATGCTGTACAATGGTAGCACTGGCCACCAACTTTCTGTTTAATAGACTCAATCCAACCTCGTCATGCTCGCCGTCGACGAGTTCAGATTCCACTCGTTTAAGGACATCATGTTCTTTGCTTATTTTACGGATAAAAGCAGGTAAACCGGTCACACGCGAGTTCTTGATCTTTGATCCGATGGTCTTGAGAAAGCTTTCAATCTCGGGTATGTATGAGTCACACGCAAGGATATTCTTACGAGTCTCTTGCAGCATCAACTGCTTTGTGGCAGGAAAATCATCTTGGCCGCCATGAAGGAGGTGAAGCTCTGGTTCTTCGGCGGTTATTGAGCCCATGGCGATTGTGTTTAGCGAAGCAAGAGGCAATAGTGATTGCCCAGATTTGAGTAGTTCATGACCAATCTCTCGCCATTACGGGATTTTCCAGCCCCAAAAGTTAATGCACAGCCTTGCAGCATGAAGCTTTCGTGAGAACCTGTGGCTGCCTAATTCATACTGTGCTACGGATCATACTTGTACCGCCTCCGGGCTTTTTCATGTACAAAGTCGCAAACAATGCCCACGCTGAATTGCATGATAAAAGGCCTATACCAGGTAGTAGTACAGAGTAGTTGATTGATTGTCAAAGTAAATGTGAAACAATACGAATTGCATGGTTTTGTAAATTGTCCGAATTCAGCCAACAAAATTTACACACAACACATGTCATTTTACGGCACCCGATTCAGGAACAAGTCCAGCCTCGACGAGTGCTCAGTTCGTCTAGGTTAGGTCCAGGTCACACTAGCATAAGACGCCATCACGGCCGTCAGAAATTGGATCCTTCATCGTCCACGTCACATTCACTCTGCCGAATATCACATGCTCGCACACGCATACCAGCATTTAGGTATATAAATACAATAGTCCACAGAGCACTTTGTAATCAAATATTATCGAGATATATGTAGAATTTCATAAATATTTATGAATCAACCGATCACCCTGCAGACTTTTTCCTCTGCAGCATCGTACCCAATCTTCCATCCACCTCCAACCACTTACATGAACCCTCACCCCCATCCATCATGACTAGCTTCACGTCCATCTTTTTTTCGCCACTGCTCGGCAATCGTCTCCATGAGACTTCTAGAAAATAATGCCTCGTCTCCATACACTCCCCCACCATCACAACAAGAACCAAGGAGAAGAAAAAAAAAAGTTCGTTCCTTGCATATCGGCCGTAACCCGAACGTCCATCGCAAGACTACAAGCACAAAATCAAGGTCCGTCGCCCGCTAGCATGGCTGACAAGCCAACCACAATCCATTTCCCACGTGGTGGACAAATCCACTCCGTTTGCCTTGTTGTGCCAACTCATCAATGACTCGAGCCGGCGTCCGATCAATCCGCTGCAACCCGCCTCTGCTTGTGTGTGCGTGTGCCTGATTACGTGTGACATGCAAGATGCAGTGGTACCTTGACCACTCGGATCGTCGTCCACGACAATGAACAAGGTCGGGAAAAGAAAAAAAAAGAGGGGAAAATACACTTTCTATCAAGGAGGGAATTCCAACATCCGGTGCAATCGGAATCACTGGATTAGAAAAAAAAAAACTTGTAACCTGCATTAGTGACGACCGGATACCTGCACCAATGGCCAAATCGGCGACCATTCCGCCAGTAACAAAAGGACCCATGATGATGATGGAGAATGAGGTAGAAGGGGGAGAAAAAAACTCATACTGATTTGATTTGATGCAGCTCCCATTGTCAAAATAGAAAAGTTCCCGGGGCGCTTTAGAACACAGACTAGGCGTTGAATAGGTAATAGATAGTAGGCCGAACCATTGGGAATACGTTTGGTTTGGCTCGGCGAGAATTGGCTACGGAAAGGATAACGCCATGGCGCATTCCGCCAACTACTCACGGACGAGGACGACATGACTGGATGGGGTTTTGTAAGTGGAATGGTGTAACGCCATCCAACATCTTTCACCATGTTTCAAAGAAAGTTAGAGTTAAGCTCAAGTAACCACAGACGTCAAGAGGCAAACTTGAATTATAAGAGCAAATAAACATTTCAATTATATATATAAGAGAACCGTAATATATATATAAAAACGGATTCAAAGTAACTTGCGTGGACGTCCATAACCTCGATGGACATCGGGGGAATCCGTAAAAGCCACACACCAAACACCGTAGATATTTCTCCACGTAAGAATTCTTAAAAGCCGAAACACATGTATCAAATCCCAAAAGCCAGCCCAACGTATTTTCTCTATGCCCCTCCGCGTGATCAATCGACACTTTATCCTAAGAAGTTGACGATAACGTTGACGGAAGCCTTGCCGGGCTTGATGTTGAGACCAAGGCCATCGAGAGCCTCGGTGCCGCCAACGAAGGCGTTGTCACCCTTGCCGCCGGGCCAGATGATGGAGCAAACGTCGGCATACTCGCCGGTACCGCAGGCCTTCATGCCGGGAATATCCATGTGGTTAGCAGCGGCAACGATGGAAGAGACGTCGACACCGGACCAGCCACCGTTGGACAGGTTACCAAAATCAGCCTCGAGCCAGGTAGAAGCGAATTGGCCGATGTTGGTCAGCTCGGCGCCGTTTTTGCCGCAGGCACAGCCAATCTGAGAGTTGGAGTCGACAGCGAGGACCTGCTTGCCACCGGCGGGAAGGTCGAATGTCAGAGCCTGGTGACCGCTGAAAAAACCGTCAATTAAACCATCGGCTCCGATCTTGTTCCAGCAATCGCACTTGGAGTCCTCGCCGGCGTTGGTGAAAACCACGGTGTACTGGTACTGGTCGAGGAGGTTGCTCTTAACAGGCATCAGGTTGCATCCGTAAGAGCCGCCGGCGCCGACATTGCCCTTGTAGGCGATCTCCTGGGCGGTAGCACGCTTGCTGTTACCACCGCAGAAGGGAGTGTAGGTGGAAGGGCCAGAGCCCACACCGGCAGCAGAGCTGGCAGCCTTCTCAGCAGGAGGAGCAGCGGGAGCGGAAGGCGAAGCAGTAGGGACAGCAGGCGCAGGAGTGGGAGAGACGACGGGAGTGCTGGGCTCAGCAGGCTTGTTGGCAACGACAAAGTCGCCGCGGGCCTCGATGGAGTCGTGGGCGCGCTTGTGGGCGTGGCCGCTGGGGTGAGCAGAGGCGCCGAGAGCGGCGATGAAGATAGAGGCGGTGGAGAACTTCATGTTGGCGATTGATTTTATAAAAGATGCTGTCTAGGTTGTATATCCAAAGGAGCGAGCGATCGTCTTAGTATTTCCAGAATACCGCGAGGAGGTTGTTGCTGGAGGAGGCCGAAGGAACGAGGCGACAAGGCGAGAGCCGTGGTTTGTAGGGTTGCGAAAAAGAAGGTGGTTGGCAACGCAGCGATGTCTTTGTCTTTAAGGAATGACTTTGAAGGCCTGTGTGTAGACGGTGAGGAGGAGGAGAGAGGGAAGAAAGGGAGCGGGAGGGAAGCGGGAGTTATTAAGGCCCCAGCATGCCAGCCCAGGCACAGGCCCAGGCACAGGGGACGATGGAACATTCAATGGCCCTCCATGGGCCCTGGAGCAGGGGGGAGTGCACGATGCCAACTTCTGCAAGCGACCCGTGCTTCGGGGCTCCTTAGTGGGTGGCAACGCCTGCTGGGCTCGTAAAGCTGCCCCTAAACATTGAAGACTCCATCAATGCTGGCCCCCCATGAAACCTGGCTAGGAGAGCTAGGAGACCCCTGTCGCGAGCTAGCCACAGCAGTCCAGGAACCACCAGGTACCCGCTGCCTGTCATTGGCCCAGGTGGCCGTGGAGCCCGAATTGGGTTTGTAGCTCATTGGAACATGAAGTTTTCTTGTCGCGTCAGCCCACATGCACAACCCTTGGGCCAGTTTCTGCAACCGGAGCTGAAGATGGAAACTTTGTGGTTTGTTCAAAGCTTATTGTTCTTTCTTGCTGACATCAAGCCATGCTTTGCACAAATCAGAGTTTATTCTTTGGCAAGCTGATGATGCATCAATGACAGAATCGTCAACAGCCAGACGTGTTCACGCACGCACGCAATCAATCAGTCTTTGTGGGTGATCCACGCGTGATCCACGCATGGGTTTGCGTCCACCATGTCAAACGCTCCCGTACCAATTTCAACAAAGATACCGCGGAGAACAGCGCCAGACACGGGTCATCGCAAGTACCCGGACATCTGCGTGTACTTGTTGATTCCGTGCATAATCTCCTCCAGAAATCGAATCAATCAGTCACCTCCGCTGTCCTCATGCGAGAACCTGTAAACCCACCTCCTTGTCCCCCCCAACTGTTCTCGGCGTCTGTTCACACGCCAATGACGCCTCGCCAAAGCCCGTTCAGCAGCCACTCAGACTCCAATCACGAGACAGACACCGGACATCTTTGTTCTCCCAACCTTTCCCTCCCCCCCCCCCTTCTTCCCCTTCGTCTTTCCCCTCCCCCCTTCTCCCACCGCCAGCCCATCTCGCTGCCCGCAAATGAACAAGCAGCCCGTCGCCAACGCCTTCTGGAATGAGGAATAGATTTTCTTTTCCACCCCAGGCCTGTAGCCGACGGTTGGAAGGGGAAATGAGACTCCCCTGGGAGGTAATTTCGCGCGAAATCGGGGCTTTGCTGCATCGGGTTACGTGCTCGTGAAGCCAAGCCCAACGGCTAAAACAACCTGGTCACAGGCGGTAAAGGCCGGCAGTTCTGTCTTTTACTTCCTCCAGTGTGCAAGGTTCTCTACTAGGAGTAACGGCAAACTTACCTAATGGAAGTTGTTTCTTTGTGACGAGAAGCTGTCACGGAATACGAGGGCATGTCTTGGAATCTTTCCAGGTTGTCGCCTATTTGCACGGCCAATTTCCCCAATCGGCTGCCGTTTTTGAGCCTGCACCGTTGCGTGGCGCCGTGCTTGTGTAGCATGGACGATGGAGAACAAAGCACTTGAGCTGCATCAATGATTTGTCTCTTCGTTTTTCGCTCTTCCAATGGCTTACAGTAGCTGCAAACTCAAACAATGCCAAGTGCAATGCAGGGTGCTTCTATGGGAGCAATATTTCGTACTCCAGCCCCCCTCCCCTTTGGTTCACCGCATCGCATGCAACCAATACCAGAGCAACTACGCCAACTTACATGTATTAATTCCATTCCAAGCCGCCCTTTTCGCGCGCCACAGACACGTCAGCATCAATAATATACTCTCTGCATGCATAACTACAAATATCATTGACTTTATCCACAAAGCAACACCTTCATCAATGTCGATCTATCTGCTGTATGTACCCGTACCAGAAGCATCAACCCATTCCCACCCGGACCATTGCAGCAATACCCACCGCTACTACTCCGTACGCGTGCTATTCTTATCCCGTCTCCCCCGTCTTCCCTGTTTTTTTTTCTCCTATAAACCACGTTGACACGGGCACCGCCCCTTGGGATCCATCATATTCTCCGTGCGAGTGCATATCCCGCCTTTCCGGCTCTCCACATCCCCAGCCGCAGCTTCGGATCCGCGTCAGCTCCTCACCTCACCTCAACCCCCCTCTCTCGGCATTCTCCTAACAGACCCAACATTCGACGGCCCATACGCTCCGAACCCCCTATGGAAGCCTTCTATCCTTGGAACACTAATCCCAGGTACTCAACGCCTAACGAGCACTGCCACTGCATACGTGTGCAATGGTTTGGACGTTTGATATTATGCTCCTAGCCGTGAATGATGAACTTGTACGGACAATACTTGTATGGGCAAAACCACACATCTCATAGTAATATACGCACTGTATGTGCTGGTGGGTGCCTACATATGCATGGACAACTCAGCATCGTTCGATTCTTGCTCCCCTGTTTTGTGGCTGAGGAAACATGTCGTGTCCGTTTCGAGGAATGCAGAATGCCAACGCCTCTAACCACGTAGAGATTCCTGTAGACCACTTCATCGCTCTCCAGCCAGTGTTTCAGTTCCACGCGATAGACATGTTGCGTAATCGAGTTGCACTTCGAATCTTCTTTTTAATTATTGCCTTACTAGGCAGTCAAGCATCTAGCCTCTCTGGACAAGATCTGAAACAGCTTGCAACATGAGCATTTAGGGTATGTGCCGCTAAAGATGAGTATCGCGCACATGCTCCTCCCAGCTCTGTTCAGAGGACAATTAGATCCAGTCGCTGTGGTTAAGCCATTCTTATGTAAACAATAAGAGAGAAAATCATTTTAGTCTCTTGTTTACAAGATTGGGGAAAGAAAATACTATCAGCTGGCAAGTTATTGTTTTGAAATCCTGGTTGTACTGGTCGAATGCCCACGTCCTTTTCTCTAGTAGTTCACGTCAGCAACTTCTTTTTCCGTAAAAGTCCAATCCAATGTCATCTTGACCGTAATCTGAATTTCTCGATCGCTGAGACTGTGGTGTGCCAGCTCATGAACCTTCTTCTGTGAGCTGCCCACTCTCCCATTGGCCATCGTATGAACACGACTGCACATTAGCGTTGGTAGATTTCCAACATCATCTGGCCGTTCAGTGGAACGTGGATTGTTTCTGATGAGACTACCAGTATTGCCTAAATCAGCCGATGTCGCTCTTGTTAGGATCATATCTTCGCTTTGCTGCTGAAGAGTTAGAGAATATGGGAAACCAGGTGTCTTTCTCTCTCTTTAGTCATGCCTTCTTTTCGCTCTCATTGTACCCAGACTGATGATCTTCGCTACATGTAGTCTGCCTTAGTACTATAGGTAGGTACATGTAGGTACCTTTACTTTGCATATCACGTGCTATTCTTGGGTCTTTTGTTCGACAACATACAGGTACCTACGAAGCTCCGAAGCTGTACGCCATGAATAAGAGTTTCTTCATTCTTTTCGTCATTAATGTTGGCGCTTCATTGTTCCTAGTGGTATTTTATAATGCTGAATTATCCTTCAAAAAGTCAAGTCATCCATACTGCAGCTATCTTCAATACGTATCTTGATAGCCATGCCAGTAAATAAATTTTGATGAAGAGATTCCCTTTTCAGGGACTATATCTCGCGCCGCGCTTGAGCCATTGCTCCTTTCTGTTGCTACTGGGATTACTTCTACGGTTTCAGCCATTCTCGAGTATTTGTACTTCTTTGATGACGAGAAGAGACGAAAGTTCGGGGAGATTACAAGTCCCAAAGGAGTTGGCATCAGAATTCATTATAATTTCGTCCGTATGGAGGCTTGCCAGGTAGTGCCATGTGATGTTGAGGGATGACTGTCGACTTCCGCGACTGAGATGAAGAGCACCTGTTGGAAGACTTGATAGATTCGTAATTTATAGAGGAAAACGGAGTAATTAAAGAAAGCTCATGGATGTTTGGCCCTCATGGATACACTACATAGGTACTTATGCATACTCATTATAAGACTCATGATTCACGGTGTATTAGACCAAGTCTTCTGTCTTATGGGGCTCATTGGAGGCTGGCATATTACAACTCTTATGTATTTTCCATCTAGATCATGTATGGTACTGAGATTCCTGTCTTTCGATCCGCATAAGATGACGCGTTCAGTTTACACCTCGCTTTGGCAAAATTTCCATATTCTTCGCTCTTCCTACCTATCCAATATACAAGCATAGCTCTTATATCATGTAATTCAAGAGGATCCAGATTTTTCGAGGGTTGCCGCACGCCTACTAGAACGCATGGGAAATGCACGCTGAATTGACTGCATCTAGACTACGCTGCAGATAGCTGCTTCTGATAAGCACCTGCAGGATCGATGCCGTCAAGATAAACGAGACAGCTGTAGATATGGATACATGTATGTACTATCTTGACCCTGGCAACCACAAGCGAATCACATGGAGAGACAGCATCAACATTCTCACTTGTCTGTATTTCTATGGCATGATACAATGGGTATGTCCACGTTGGACCCGTCCACACTTGCAGCTGCTCCATGTATGTACAAAGAGAAGCGGCATCGGGATGCATGCAATTTTGCATCGCATCCAACCAATCTGGCCGTTATCTTTCCTTGCCTTTGCCCAGCCGCAAAGGCCATGTGGTCTGCCCGATCTGTCTCATAGGCTGTGAGTCCCCGGGCGCAGCGTAAAACCCTGCAACTCATGTACGAGTACGTTGTTATGCATGTCTTGGCCCGCCATTCGTACGTTGAGAGCTTGCATCTCACGCATGTGCTTTATTTAGCTGGGCGTATTGAAGAAGAATCACTGGAGATTTCTGCCCGGATCCGACGTTGCATGAGGAAATACCCGACAGAAAGCCGCACGGCATTGGATGCCTTCCACCAGCATCTGCTTTACGGCCCAAGGTCGGGTATCAATCCATGCAGCGATGCGACATTTTAATCACCGGGCAGCAGCCAAAAACGCCAATTGAGGCTCGCGATTTCTTCAATCACTTCATTACGGCCCAACAAGAGCCCGGGATGACCTCAAGCACCCGTCCTCGTATCGACTTTAGGTACACGGGAGCTACGAGCTTCCAGCGGCCGAGTCCGCTGCATCTCTGCGTCTTCAGCTGGTCGCGCCGATTCACTAAAAGCGCCGGTGAAGCGCTAACGGCTCGAGGACAGCCGCTGCTAAGCTGCTACGGGAAAGGCAGCTGGCCGTCATGTTGCGTCATGCGGGGTGCTAGTGCTGGAAGCTGTAGCTCCCTAACGCCGATAACGTCTGATCAGGCCGCGACAGCTCCCTTATCAGCTAATGCACGACCTGGCCATGGCAGGAAGCTTAAGCGCTGTTCCTTGGCTAAGGCATCCATGACCAGCTGTGCCAGGAAAAAGTGACCCGATGGTATTACTTTAGTAGTAGCAGGGCATTTTGACTGCGTTGGAACTTCAACTTCGACCTTTCATGCAGCCGGCTAGTTGCCCTACGCAGCAGCTCTCGCTTTCGGCGTCACGCGATTTTATCGCAGGCTCTCCATAACTAATCATTGTCTCTGGCTTCTTTGGGATTTTTTTCTCTTTAGAGGTTCATTGACCGTGGACGCGAGGCTTTTGGGCCTGCTACGCTTGCTGCACCCGCTGTTTTCTCACCGTCTCCAAAGTCGCCGCCGTCATGCCTCGCTCCAACCGCTGGCGCAACATTGATCGCCTGCTTGGCTTCGATAGACATGGCTATCACTCTCGCCGCCAATGGGTTCATGAAGAAGAGCGCGCTCGTAAGTCGTGACACGTTCAATGGTCCCCGAACCCTCGCCACGTGCCTCCAGAGGCCATCATGCTAACAGAGGGCCTCGCACCCCGGCTCCAGTGCTCCCACAGCTGCGTAATGAGGAGATAGACTCTGCCATTCCACCCGCCGACGTTACCAAGGTATGCCTCCGACTACGACACTTGGTCCAAGAGTGCGTACCATGTGAAATGGAAGAGAGTCGAATCACGGCGCCCCATAGCCGCATTATTACGCCCAACGTTGTCCAAGCTGCCAAGGAAGCAGGCGGTCAAGAGTACAAGGGTTGTGTGGTACGTGACGGCTGAATATATGCCGGCCACCATTGGGATGATTGCTCGCTAACAACACCTAGGTCTACGCTTTACTCGTCAATCTACGTTGGTTCAATCATGAAGCAAATGTTGAGCTCTGGGATGCTGGCCTGCACAATCTGCGAGCCGAAGCTTGCGGTGTTATAGCCAAGGCCCTGTACGTAGCCCAATTGCAAATGGCTCACTGATATATACTAACTATGGGGCTACTAGTATCGAGGAAGAGGAAGACACGGCGTATCTACTGCACTCGGTGCTCCTGCGTCGATACTCGTATATTGCAAACAGCATCCCGACGCCTCCTGTCAATGTCATCGAAAAAGCTGTCGACTTGCATGCAGTTCGAGTCATTGGCTCGTCGGGATACCAAAAATGCATCAGCTATCTCTGGCGTGGCTGGCTCGTGCAGGATGAGAACGACCCATCTTTCTTTGTCGACTATAATGACAAGGACAATCCGAATTTCCTGGTTCATATGGATCCAGATCGGATGAGAACCCCTAGAAACCAGAACATCGCCCAGCTCTTATTTTCCCTTGTCTATCTTGCCCTCTTCACCATTGCCATTAACTCAGTCAACGCCAGTGGCGTCATCGACATTGCCGAAGGAGCCCTCTATTTCTTTACACTCGGATACATTTGCGATGAGCTGCTCAAGGTCTACAAGGCTGGATATCAGATCTTGGGCTTTTGGAATGCTTTCAACGCCATCTTGTACGCGTTTTTGACGGCGTCGTTTGTATTCCGCGTCGTTGGCCTGACTTTTGCGGAACATACAGATGGACGTACCCATTACAGCACCCTAGGATACAACATCCTGGCCTTTACCGCTCCGTTGTTTTGGTGTCGTCTCTTGCTCTACTTGGATAGCTTCAGGTTCTTTGGCGCCATGCTTGTCGTCCTCAAAGTCATGATGAAGGAATCCGTGATATTTTTTGCCCTCCTCATTGTCATCATTGTCGGTTTCCTGCAAGCCTTCATCGGCCTTGACCTCACTGATGACAACGTTGCCGATGACGTGTGGTTTATCATCGAGTCTATGGCAAGGGCTCTCCTCGGAAGCCCAGAGTTTGATGGGTTTGATGGATTTGGGCCGCCCTGGGGTGCGATCCTGTATTACTGCTTCACATTTATTGTCATGGTATGTCTTGATTGTGAATTGTGTGGGAATAAGTCCAAGCTAATGAATGATATCAGGTTATCCTCCTCAACATTCTCATTGCCCTGTACAACTCTGCCTACGAGGATATCTATGAGAACGCGGACGATGAATATCTGGCATTGTTCAGCCAAAAGACGATGCAGTTCATTCGTGCACCAGATGAGAACGTCTATATTGCTCCGCTCAACTTGATCGAGATTGCCATCTCAGCTCTCTTTGAGTGGTGGATGCCAAAGAAGTCGTACGAGTTCATCAATGACTGTATCATGGGCCTTTTCTACTCGCCGCTTCTTTTGATCATGGCAATCTTCGAGACTCGCACGGCGCATGCTATTCGTCGTAACCGAGCCCGTGGGGAGGCAGATGACGATATCATTGAAGAATGGGAACAGCTCGCGCACGAAATTGACTTTGGGGCTGAAGGATGGGCCAAGACATGCGAGGCCGTCAAGCCAAACATGGTTGATGACCCAGCTGTTGTTGAGATTAAGAAACTGCGCGCTGAGCTTGCCGGACTGAAGTCTATGCTGACAGACATTGGCGAACATGTCCACTTTCCGACGAGCCAGGATACCAAGATTGGGGACGGTAGCGCCTATGAATTCAAGGCATCTTCGGAAACAACTCATGAGGAAACGGATCATGGCCTGAGCACCGACAAAGATGTGGCACACGACGCAGCAAGCTCATCCGGCAAAGCGCCGGCTGGGAGCGGCTTTGAAGAGCTAATCGACCTGGTTGATGATTCTGCTAAGCCGACCGAGGATTCTGACGAGGCCGCCGAACCGACTGAAGAGTCGGCCGAACCGGCGGAAGAATCTACGCGTCCTTCCGAAGCGGTACCAGAACCAGAGAGCGAGGGCACATCATCCAAGTCACCCGAAGTTGCACCATCTGACGCACCCGAAGAATCATCATCTAAGGCACCTGAAGATGCACCATCCGAGGCACCTGAAGACACATCACCTAAGGCAACTGAAGATACCGCATTCAAGGCACCGGAAGAATCATCAACCAAGGCACCTGAAGACACATCATCTGAGGCACCTGAAGATACCGTATCCAAAGCACCTGAAGATACCGTATCCAAAGCACCTGAAGACGCACCGTTCAAAGCATCAGAAGAGGCAGCGCTAGACTCCTCTGAAGATGTCCCGGCCGAGACACACGATGATGCACAACCCGAGGCCTCTGAAGACGTGCCGTTCAAGGCTCCCGAAGGCGCCCCTCTCGAGGCCCCAGAGTACGTTCCGTTTATGGCCCCCGAAGACGTGCCGTCAGAGGCTGCCGAAGGCGTTCCTCTCGAGACATCTGAAGGCGCTCCACTTGAGACATCTGAAACCGCAGCGTCCAAGGCTCCCGAAGAGGCTGCGCCTGCACGTGCTGAACGCGTCGAGTCCGAGGAAGTCGAAGGCGAGGAAGCTAGCCCTGAGAGTCCTGCTGGTGAAGGCAGAGCAGAGGGTGAACAAGACCCCAAGCCAAAGGCCAAGAGAAGAAGAAGAAAGAACAAGAACAAGTCGTCGCAAGCCGGCCCGAGCGGCGGTAGCTAAGCAAATGAGGCTCGAGCCGCCAATGCTGGGGCACGTAAGTAAGCGCGGCAAAGGAGTGAAGATTGTGTGTTTTATCTTTGGTCTAAGGACGGCGTATACCCCTTAATGGTTCTGATTTGATGAAATGCTGCTCAAGGAGGGTGGCGTTTTCTTGTATGTCGTGGACTGAGCTAAGACATGAGGGAGGGGCTTTGGACGAATAGGTGATGCTCAATGTATGAATGACTTTGCTTGTTGCGATTTGGGAAATGGTTGCATTTACGTTTTACATAGCATGGAAAATTGAGGGTTGCATACTTTAATTCTTTGACATATACTACTGAAGTTTGCCAACTTGGTGTGCATGTTGGGTGATTGCATGCATCATCTACTACCTTGTTGAGCGTGCCTCTGCAAGTGTCCGCGATGTGAAACCATTCCTTGTGTGTGTGCAACCAAAAAGGACATGTTACTTCGTCTCTCCCTTTGACCGTGAACGCCAGCTGATAAAACCATCCAAGTTCTTGCGTTTCTCCCCTTTCAATCATCCTTAGTCGGTGCTTGACTGAGGCAGCTCTCCTTCATCAGGAGGGAAATAGAGGCTACACAATAGCATTAGCAGTCGTATTCGAAAGAGGGAACGGGGGCAAATAAGAAATTCATACGGCAACACGGCATCGTACGCCTTCACATCCTTATCCAAAAAGGTAACAAAGATGACACGCTCAAACCTGCTGTCCTCGTCGTGGTCCCCTTGGAGAAAGTCCCTGACGGCTCTGCAGGCCACGTGAGCCGCCGCCTCGCTGGGGTAGCCGTACACGCCGGTGCTGATGCCGCTGAAGGCCACGGTAGCGCACTCGGTGTCGACGGCGGCGTCGAGGCAGGTCTGGTAGCAGCTGAGGAGCAGGGGCTCGCTGACGGTCCGGTTCTGGTAGACGGGGCCGACGGTGTGGATGACGTGCTTGGCGGGCAGGCCGTGGCCTCCGGTGACGACGGCGTCGCCCGTCTTGCAGCCGCCGGGGTACTTGGTGAGGCACTCGTGGACGAGGCCGCGGCCGGCGGCGGAGTGGATTGCGCCGTCGACGCCGCCGCCGCCGCGGAGGGAGTTTTTCGCGGCGTTGACGATGGCGTCGACGGGGAGGGTGGTGATGTCTGCGCGGAGGAGGGAGATGCGGCTGTTGAGGGAGGCGGAGGGCGTGCGGAGGGGGGTGGTGGTGGTTGGTGGTGGTGAGAGGCGGTTGGTCGCGTAGAGGCGGGAGATGGTGGGGATGTCGGAGACGCCGCGGATGACTCTGGACGGCATGGTGATGGTTGGTTTTTCTTCTTCTTGCTTCTTGTGAGAAGGTTGGTTGATGTGAGGGGGTGGTGATGTGAGATTGTGCTGGATGGGGTGGTGATGTCAGTATTTTTGGTGTTTTTGGATGGTGGATGGATGATGCGTACTGTAGGTGCGTGAGTGATTTGGGCTCAGCTATTCTTGACTTGGGCTGGGTGAAAGCATGCACTCTTTATATACTTTTTTGTCGAGGTCACAGAGAGGGGAGGATTTGAGTTTGTTCAGATGTGATGTGGATAAGATGAAGCAAAGAACAATTGGGTGAACGAAGATGCATGCGCAAGCCAAAGCGAACACTGAAAGTTTGCAGGCACGTGTTGGGGGTGTGGCGTATCGATACCCTGATAGACTTCAACGCATGTGCCTAGGTGCCTAGAGTATTCCTTCCAATGTTCTCTCTTGTTCAAACAATGGTTCATTTGTCAACAATCAAACAAAGGCTTAGATCTGCATGCAATGAGGGTTCGAGTGCTTTGATCATGTCATTGAGCCAATCGGTGCGGAATTGCTGCGCCCGCCACAGTGAAGAGCTCGCCAGTTCATCTCATTGGCTTCACTCTCAGCTCGCCACCGTAACATTTCTTTATTCATCTTCATATTGAAAAGCTCAATATTCGAGAATCTGGAAAAAAGCCGTTCAGTTATCAATTTTCGAGTCATACCAAGTTGTCCTAGAATGGTCGTATTTGCCAGCACTTGATGGTTCTGTGCGTTCCTGCTACTGGTGGACGTTGCACAAAGCTTCTGTCTCTGCTTTCTCACCTCACTACACATACATTTCAATCCATTTGCAGCGAAACGCTCTACTAAGAGAGATAAAGGACCATCAGCTTAGTGCTATTGAATTATCTGGGCATATCTGAGCATTCGTGAGGTTTCCGCTTCATTGGGATACGTAGACTGCCAACAAGTTCCTAGCCCACCACGTCGTCTCATTTACCTTTGCCTGCCCCGTAATACCAAAACACAAGTAGCTATATTAGATGCATCACAGATTTTCTACTCGTCAGCTCCCATGGTGACTTTGCAGTCAATTAAAACGCCAAACTATGTGATGGTAGGTTAGCATTAACTCTTCTGGAGTTTGATTCAGTTGGAGCGTACTACTATACGAGCCCTACAACAGTGAGGGACCCTCGCTCCATCTCCTTGACATTCCTCTTCAAAGTCGGTGATGTTTTGGTAGCCTCCTTCAGCTATAAATCTTGTAATTTAACAAAAGTATCATTTGTCTGGGAGGTTTTAGGCATAGGGAGATGGATGCTTACCAGAGTGGCAGTTGACTCCTCGGATGGCACCAACATCAAGGCAACAAGCCTCCAAGGGTCGCTCCCCGGGGCAAGGATCATAAGCAACAGCTCTGGCAGTGAGCATGCTTGTGATAATTAGCATGTTCATGTTCAATTTCATGGCTGCAACTGGTAGAAATATCCAAATATTTTCTTGAATCGTTGGGTAGTACAGATGGGAGTATAGAATGTGGTGTTGAGTGGTTCAAGAGTAATCGAGTATGCTGGGGAGCCCAAGCTCGATATTTAAGCGCCTGTGATTCGTATTTCCTTTTTCCTTCCAGTTCAGCTCTGCTCGCCAACCCTCACATTTGCCACGAGGCTGGGCTAGCTGTGAGCAGGGGGGGCAGCGCTGCATCGCTTCCATACGACTCCATGACGCATCAGCTGAAAACAATTCCGAGACATTGACACATGTGATGTATAAGACTCGCGTAATGATGCTAGCCATGCTCTATTCCAGTCTATTCCCCGCCACCCTGTTGCATTTCAGCCGCTTTATCCCGTTCCTGCTGAGCAAGCTCGTGAGCCGCCACTCGATGTTCCCTTGCCTTGGACAGCGTTTCCTTGTGTCCTTTCATCGTCTTCTGTATCTCGGACGCAAACGTTTCTCTTGCCTGTTGCATTTTGAATACCTCGCCATCGATATCCATCATGTCCATGTCTCGTTGGACAGAATCCGCAAGCTCACTGAGAACATCGCCAGAGATTTGAATCACTCGGGGCATCGGCTGCGGAATACGCCCCGCTGGAAGGTAGACATTATGGTTGGTATCCTTGTTGACTTCAGCCATCAGCTCCGACAGACTACTGATCTTTTGAATAGAATCAGTGGATCGCTTCTTTGGCACGGGACCTCCAAGGATGTCAAATCCAGTGGTGTAGAGGTCCCAGTTTCTCTTTTCTTGTTTCCAGAGCTGACGAATGGGACTGGATAATCTTCCATTAGAGCTCGTGTAATCTGTGGTTCACGGACCTTAAGATCCGAATGAGTCTTGTTAAAGTGCTTTGCCTCCTGTAGCTGGTATCGCCGACTTATGCTCGTGGAAGCTAGTTTTTTGTCGACCCCTTGGCGATACGAATCTGCACGCTGTAATCGCAACCTCGTTTCATCTCGTTTGTCGGCTTCCATTGCTTGATGAAGGTGTCGTGATCGACAATCTCCTATAAGCTTGGGATCCAAAGCTGTGGCAGGGTTAGCAGCATCTGGCGTGGAAATGAGGGCATGCAACTCTTCCCGCTCAAGATCTTCCATCAATTTGCCCTCATCTTGCTCAAACTCCACAATATTGTCCAGTAAGCCTGCCCATTTCTCAGCAACTCCTTGTGTTTTTGAATTCCGACTTGGTAAAACAATCTTGTACGAGTTCAAATCGAAATCTCGAGCATATCTCTGCTTAAATTCCTCCAGCTTAGCAAGCTGGTCGCCCTTCAAGTTGAGCATCGCCCGCTTCGCCAAAAAGTATCATCTTTCCCACACCCTCCGCTTTGACTTGCGCAGCATAGGCACCGTATGAAGCATTTCCCGCCAGTTAGCATGCACTGCTCTCGCATCTTTGGAGATGAGGTATGAAATGTTTCGAAATGAGGTAAGCCAGGACAGTATCTTCGCCTGCCATTCGTTTCTCCAAGACGGCAAATGCGCTTGAAGCCCATTGAGGTCTCCAGGCAGCCTTGTTACCTGGGTGATGATCTTGTTGTTTTGAACTCTCCAGATGAGTTGGTGGCCAGGGATCCCTTCGAGGTAGTGTTCCCAACATCCAATAGGTAGCTCGTATAGCTGAGCTACCATGGCTTCTTGAATACACAGCTCTTGGTGTAGAAACTAAGAAAAATCCATGAGTGATTTGACAATACGGTCATCGTATATGTTTTCTCCACGGGTAATAGCTGATATAAATTGATCCACAGACATTTCGTCTAATGATATGGAGGTTTCATCGGGTTCGATGCGTTTGTGGCTTCTCAATCGCCGCCATTGCCTATAGAAAGTTGTTACCTCTTGTCTCTTATTTCTGGAACTAAGCCTCCTATTCTTATACAAGATGAAGATGCCTGCTTCAAATGCAATCATATTCGTTTTGCTAGCTTGTGCCGCCAGTCTTTCACCTCTGTGGTACCAATTTTCTGCAATCTCAACAAAACGTTTGGCAAGCATCGGGAACTTCCACGCGTCATAAATCAGAGCCTTGATGTACTGCGCGATGACCTTTTGACCGCTCGCTTCCAGCTCCAGGATGAAACAACTGACCCATTCCCGAAATTCGTCGGTTCCAAGAGCAAGATCGCCGAGGGAAGTGTGAAATGATGTAGACTCCACGGCTGAGAACCAGGCAACTCTTTGGGGGATGTCTGGAACGCTTCTCAGAGCTGCCGAACCATACTTTTTGAATGTGGTATCCCAAAACTCTTGTGTGAAGAACTTTTGAAAGATGCTATGAGAGTTGAATGTGAATGATTGCTCACATATTGCGTACGGGGCCGGTACTTCGTATTTACAAGAATCCCGGGGGTAAAATTCGCTCTGGTCGAACGAAGATGTGAGGCCGCCGTGATACAGTAGGAACATTGGTTTATAAAAGGACAAGTGCGTCATTGGATATGGACCATGCCCCAAAACCTACACAAGTGGCCTATTAGTATGTTTCTGGTTTCACCCTGTTCATATTGGGAAGAGATGGATTCCACGCACATGTCTTTCAAAAGCTTCCCCAATTTCTTTTCTCGAATCGTCTCCATAATATGGTTCAATGTCTGGATAATGGGGCGCTGATGGGTATAGATCACTCTCAAGTAGCTTGCAAAAATCTAATGTCTGCAGGATGAGAAACCCTAAAATAGCGAGGATGCCGAATCCATAAAAGCGTTGCTTCAACGATGGCATGCTACAACGAATGCTGATGTTAGTAAATATGTTCTCTTAAATTGCATTGAGAACGATAAGAGTAGGGGGGTTTACCGACACATAATTCGTGCACCATCGTCGCCGCAAGCATCCAGCTGACCATGATTTTCTCTGAAGAACTTAGCTGGACGGCCAAAAGCTGCCAAATAACCTCTGCAGCAAGATCAATACAAATCGAACTGTTGGGATTGGACAGGTTGAACCGTGTCACAGCAAACGCCGTCTCTGCATCAAACTTTCCTATAGTTGATTCGACATCGTAATGAGCACTGGCAATTCGCCATTTCAATCTGCTCTCTAAAACTTTAAAGGTGAGCTCCATTGGGTTAAACTTTGCGGACGGTCTGATTTTGTGTCGATAGCCTATCGCTTCACTATTGTCTCTTCGAAGCTCAATCTTGAAATTTGGTGATTTTGCCTTCTGAGGATTTGCTTCTGCAGTCTCCGGGATCTTATACTAGTTGCCCACATTAAGTATTGCTTTGAAGAAAGGATCATTTTGATAAAATAGCTTGGTTGCCATTTGAAGGGCAGGCTGGGGGCAGTTCCAGACCTCATCATTCCACTGTTGAGAGCCAATACCTGTGATTAGCCAAATAGCCGCTATTATGTAGCAGATAATAACAACTTACCTCGACTTCCATATCAAGGCATTTTCCGTCAAGGCGAAAAGATACGGTACCAACGTCTGCAACGCCCAAAGGAGATTGGTCCCATTTCTCTCGAGAGAACAGGCTGTAATAAGTAAGTTACCATTTCCATCTCTTTATATGATGAGCCATGTCATTTTACCTGTCTATTGGTCCGCTAAGATTGCTCTGAAAGTCACCAATCTCGAAATAGTTCCCACCTAGGAGCTGCTCATGGTCAGCATCAACACGTCGCAAACGACCATCTATTCACTCCCCTCATCCATAGTCATGTCTCCAAAGAGGCATCCTTGCCAGAACTCTTCGATTAGGAGTTCGTCAAACGCTTTTGTGTAGTCACGTTCTTGAGGCCCATCGTTCGGCATCGTATTGGAGGACTGAGCAGCAATATAATCATCGATATGGAGCCCTCTTCTTTGGGCCGGCCTTTCGAGCGTGCTGGTAAGATCTCTTCCGGTCAGGCTGCCGCCAGGATCATCTCGGGTTGCCATGAGTCGCTCTGCCGATCGGGTAGGCGAGGTACATGACCGTCCATCAGAACGGCCCGGAAATATGCCAAATCTTACGGCATACTTGGTGGGATTCTTTGCCCTATCCGTATCTAGCATCATTGGTCTTATGACGTCTTTCACATGATCCCGAACAGCAAAGTCTGTGCCATTGCGAGCGTCTGGGTCGTCCTTCCAGCCTGGAGTTGTCCATAAAGGAATGTGTAAAGCAGGCGTATCATCTCTCAACGGCAATTTAATCTCAATTTTATCCGTACTAAAGGAGGCTGCTAAGATCGGTGGAGTCGTTGGAGCTGGCAGAGTTGCTGCAACAATAATGTTCATTCTGACCCATTATGATTATGTGAACTGGCGTTTCTCTGAATCGTTGGTTGCACCATCCGAAGAACGAGAATAAATCGTATAGTGGAGTTTACCGTTAAAAATACTAGGCCCGAATAAAAAAAAACTAACGGGATAGTTAAAAGAAAGAAGGAGGAGCTCATGGCTTTATTGCCATCTCAAGACTTGTTGTGAATTAGCGATGCACTATCATTGTCTTTGGACGGGTGGCTGGATCCGTTGATTGGCAGCGACAAACACGGAGGCACACGGCTGGATAAAAATAGAGATATGAACGGGCCTCTTGGAGCTCATACAAGAAATTTGAAGACGCGCTTAGACGATCACGTAGGTAAGAGGTAACAAGGGCAATTTTGGTAGGTTCCCAGGCCAGCATTGGGAATGACAATGAACTTGGAAGAGGATATTGTTTCAATGGGTCTAAAAAGTGAATCAGTGCACATCTTGAATGTCATTGGACGGTTGCAAAGACGGATTGCCACTTCATTTCGTTGTCAAGGCCTCGACAAAGCGGCAGCTGGTGAACTGTTCAAGGAGTCGACAAAGAGGAACGCTGTTGAAGAGATGCTTACTGTGGGTTAATTTAAGACAGGAAGACGCTTGTCTCAACCAGTAGGCTTTGGCTTCACATCCGCTACAACTGTTTGCTTCAAGGGACTGAGAGGACGAAACAATGAATGGAAATATTGATACCCAAGTGCTTTGGGGGAAATCAGAAACACAGACCACTCAGATAATGGGCAGAGGATCAAGGACGATATCGACGTCCAGATGAGTCAGCACGGAGGCTCTATGGGGAGGAAGCACCTCAGCACCTGCATTCTTAGGTACATGTACCTTCCTGCCTCCATCGTGAACTACTAACTACCTCAGCAGGTAGGTAGGTTAGTACTAACCCTACTGAGATGCTCGTCAACGCTGGTGATTCTCTCTCCTTCAACACTCAAGGTGCTAGAAGAAGCCCTAATACGGCATTTTACGGTTCTCAACGAAAGCCGGACTTTCAAGTTCAAGTATGTCCGGGTCTGATGGACAAGCTCCGTCCAGCCCGCATCTGACTGTCGGTGAGTCCGTCCCCCAGCTAATGCGCATGGAGCAGAGAATGCAGGCTGGACTCTGGGGCCCCGCGATGGTGGTGGATCAAGGCATTGGATCTAGTGATTTGGCAACACGATTGTCTGGCTGCCGAATGCAAGTCTCGCTACCCAAAAGTGAAGCCTCGAACTCGACATCAACAGCACCTATTCGAACCCGACGATGGGAGTCGAGTCCAACAGACCAAGACAACATCAAGTGGCTGCTAGTCTCGGGCGCTGCTCCACGCCGTCCCAGAGCCAGCCACTGAGACGAACTTGATGTGACAACGTGGCGCCAAAGCCGGACAGGAATGGCAGGCCGAGTTTATTGGAAGGGTCTTTTTTTTTCTGCCGGGCCCACCGTTGCCGAGAGGGTCTTGAGGGTAACAAGCGTATCGTGTGAAACCCCGAGCATGTGCGGACAAGCAGGGAGTATTCAGGCATGAGGTTGTGAAATGAGGCAGGATGCGCTGACGACGCAGCAGCCTGACTGTCTCATCCCTCCGAGGGGCAACTGAACTGGACACAGAATATCATGCCAGACAGCCCGGCTAATCCGGTGAGGTGTGAGAGCTTCTGACACCGCCTCGGTTCTTATGCAGGAGCAGCTCGTGAATACCTTAGCAGTGATAACGGGACCAATAGCTACCGGTATAAGCTGGAGTACTGGAGTAGCAGTGCTGCTACTCCATCTGCAGGGGCGCCATCGGCTGGAGCAACTGTGTGAGACTGCCATCAGCCAGGCAATCTATCTTATATTAATGCGTGGCGGCAGATCACAGGAGTCTGGACGAGGCGTCCCACACCATCTTTTGCGCCGTACATGACTAGACGATGCATCCAGAGGCTTTGGCGAGCAAGACTGCGAGAGTTGACCAGTACCATCGAACCTCGACGCCCACCAAGATGAAGCTTCCACCAAAGGGCATAGATAGAGAAGCCAACCACCGGCTTGCTGCCACGTTGGGGGTGCGGCAGTAATAGGCTTCCAATCAAAGGCTCTTGTCCGATACTTTGCATGCAAATTCACACAAGCAAAGCATATCTTCAACTCGGCTGCCAGAAGTAGATACCTAACGTAAGGGGGCTTGAGATAGCAGAGTCTGATGCAAATTTGGCTTCGCAAACCCCGATATCTCAACTCTCCCAAAGCCATGGGCACTACGGAGGAGAACTAGTAAATTTTTCTGTTGAGCAAAACCTTCGCTGCGCATCGAATTTCTTCTTCTCGGCCGCCACAATGTTATTTTCCCACTAAAGATATTCTCAGCACTCAGACTCCTCACCGCCTTTGCTCCCGTAGTGGCCGTCCTCTTGAGGCTTAGCGCGCCATGATAAAGCTGATAAGCCTCGAGACGCCCAATGGAGGGGCAGCAAAAAAAAATCTTCTGGGCTGCCCGATTTTAGCCACACACCCCGCGAGAAAAAAAAAAGTTGTGGACTTGGGCCGCAGCCTTTTAAATCTTGTCTCCCTCCCACCCACTTTCTTCTTCTCTTTCGATCTTACCTCCTCCTCCTCCTTTCATTATTTTTTTTCATCTACTTTTGGTCGTCACTGATATCGACCTTGGACTTGTCTTTCAGATAGTCCATTCGCCTTCTTTGACGAGTTGTTCTTTGGTTCCTCCCCATCGAGCAGCGCCCCCCTCGAATTTACACACAAAAAAAAAAGCCTCGATACGAGAGTCGATTCCTCCATCGGCTCCCTTGGCTTCAATAGAAATCGAACGATTCACATCGATTTCGATTCCCTCCTTCGGCCTCCGACTCTTATAATTCTTACACACACTCAACATCACCGCCAAAATGCCTAGCGAAGGTGCCGAGTCCATCAAGATCCTGGACGAGCTTTTCCAGAAGCTCACCGTCTCCAAGGAGGCGGCGGACGTTAAGCAGTCCGCTGGAGAGCTCGCCAGTTTCCTCAACGGTCGCATTGATGACCAGGCTGTCCCCGAGAAGTAAGTTCATCTTTGCAACAACTTCAGATCAGTTGTCCCCTTTTTTAGCCGGGGAAAACTTTTTTTTTTGCCTCCTATCTCGCCTGGCAACAAATGCCCCGCCACTCACAGCGGGGTTGGCCTGCCTACCCCTCCATCAGTGGCCACCTTGGCTGCTAAACTCCCCTGAAAAGTTTTTCTTTCAGCTGTGCGACATCAATTTTTTAGCGTTTCAAGGCATTAACACGCTTATCTCTAGGATCATCGGAGACATCAAGAAGTCCCTCGTCAACAAGAAGGACGCCACCGCCCGTGAGAAGGCTGCTATCGCCGTTGAGGCCATCGCCTCTCACTCTGAGGTCGCCGCCAACGTCGAGCCCTACCTCATCGTTCTTCTGCCCACTCTTCTTGCCGCTGTTGGCGACAAGATCACTGCTGTCAAGAATGCCGCTAACGCTGCTGTCCTGGCCATTGCCAGCGCCATCAACGGCAACGCTGTCAAGAGCGCCCTCCCTCACCTGATGGAGTCTATCCGCACTGCCCAGAAGTGGCCTGAAAAGATGGCTGCCCTGGACTTCATCCTTGCCCTTGTCAAGACCGCCCCTGCTCAGCTCTCCTACCGTGTTCCCGACTTGATCCCCGTCGTCTCTGAGGCCATGTGGGACACCAAGAAGGAGGTCAAGGAGCACGCCTACAAGGTCATGGAGACCATCTGCCAGCTCATCGTCAACAAGGATATTGAGCGATTCATTCCCGAGCTCATCAAGTGTATCGCCAAGCCTGAGAACGTCCCCGAGACTGTCCACCTTCTCGGTGCCACCACCTTCGTTACTGAGGTCCAGGAGCCCACCCTCGCTCTCATGGTCCCTCTTCTGGACCGTGGTCTCGCCGAGCGTGAGACCGCCATCAAGCGAAAGTCTGCTGTCATTGTTGACAACATGTGCAAGCTTGTCGACGACCCCAACATTGTCGCTCCTTTCTTGCCCAAGATGATGCCAGGTCTCCAGAAGAACTTCGACAACCTTGCTGATCCCGAGGCTCGTGAGAAGACCAAGCAGGCCCTTGACACCCTGTACCGTGTCGGTAACGTCGTCGACGGCAAGATCCCCGAGGTTCGCAACGACGGTGACGTCTCCGTCGTCCTTGGCAAGCTCAAGGACGTCCTGTCTACCCGCTATGCTTCCCTTCTCGAGAAGATGGGACCTGTTGCCGAGTACATCTCCGCCATTGCTGGTCAGCTCATTGACATGAAGGAGGGCGAGTCCGCCGTCTGGGTCGAGAGCCTCAAGCCCTACGTCGCTGTCATCACCGGCATCGACAACGCCGAGAGCACCATCGACACTCTCCGCAAGCGCGCTTCTCCCAACGCCGCCGAGGAGGAGGAGGGTGAGGCTGATGATGAGGAGGGCGAGGACCTTTGCAACTGCACCTTTTCTCTTGCCTACGGTGCCAAGATTCTGCTCAACCAGACCCATCTCCGCCTCAAGCGTGGTCAGCGTTACGGTCTTTGCGGTCCCAACGGTTCCGGCAAGTCCACTCTCATGCGTGCCATCAACAACGAGCAGGTCGAGGGTTTCCCCAAGCAGAGCGAAGTCAAGACTGTCTTCGTTGAGCACGACCTTGACTCCGCTGATACTGAGATGACCACCATCGACTGGACCATGAAGAAGCTTGCCGAGGCCAAGGTCGACGTCTCTCAGGCTGATGTCGAGAAGCGCCTGGACGAGTTCGGCTTCACCGAGCAGATGGTCCAGGGCGAGATTTCCGCCCTGTCCGGTGGTTGGAAGATGAAGCTCGCTCTGTGCCGTGCCGTCTTCGAGGCTCCTGATATTCTGCTGCTCGACGAGCCTACTAACCACTTGGACGTGAAGAACGTCAAGTGGCTCGAGGACTACCTCACCACCTCCCCTTGCACTTCCATCATTGTCTCTCACGACTCCAGCTTCCTTGACAACGTCTGCCAGCACATCGTTCACTACGAGCGATTCAAGCTTAAGCGTTACCGTGGTAACCTGAAGGAGTTCGTCAAGCGTGTTCCTTCCGCCAAGTCCTACTACGAGCTCGGTGCCTCTGAGATGGAGTTCTCCTTCCCCGAGCCCGGTTTCCTTGAGGGTGTCAAGACCAAGGCCAAGGCCATCCTGCGTGCCACCAAGATGTCCTTCCAGTACCCCGGTACCTCCAAGCCCCAGATCCAGGAGATCAGCTTCCAGTGCTCCCTCGGCTCTCGTATTGCCGTTATCGGTCCCAACGGTGCCGGCAAGTCTACTCTGATCAACGTTCTCTGCGGTGAGCTCATCCCCACCGGTGGTGAGATCTACCAGCACGAGAACATCCGTATCGCCTACATCAAGCAGCACGCCTTTGCCCACATTGATAACCACCTTGACAAGACTCCTTCCGAGTACATCCAGTGGCGTTTCCAGACTGGCGAGGATCGTGAGACCATGGACCGAGCCAACAAGATCATCACCGAGGCTGATGAGAAGGCCATGGACAAGGTCTTCAAGATCGAGGGTACACTGCGTCGTGTCATTGGCATCAACGCCCGTAGAAAGTTCAAGAACTCCTACGAGTACGAGTGTTCATTCGCTCTGGGTGAGAACGTCGGCATGAAGGGCGAGCGATGGGTCCCCATGATGACCGCCGACAACGTCTGGCTGCCCCGTAACGAGCTGTTGGCCTCTCACCAGAAGATGGTCGCTGATGTCGACATGAAGGAGGCTCTTGCCTCTGGTCAGTTCCGACCTCTGGTCCGAAAGGAGATTGAGGCCCACTGCGCCAACTTCGGTCTCGATGCCGAGCTGGTTTCTCACTCCCGCATGCGCGGTCTGTCTGGTGGCCAGCGTGTCAAGACTGTCCTGGCTGCTTGCTCTTGGCAGCGACCCCACTTGATCGTCCTTGACGAGCCTACCAACTATCTGGATCGTGACTCTCTGGGTGCTCTGTCCAAGGCCCTGAAGAAGTTCGAGGGTGGTGTCATCATCATTACTCACTCTGCCGAGTTCACCAAGGACTTGACTGAGGAAGTCTGGGCTGTCATGGACGGCAAGATGACTCCCTCCGGCCACAACTGGGTCCAGGGCCAGGGCGCTGGTCCTCGTCTCAAGCAGGACGATGATGATGAGGAGGACAAGTTCGATGCCATGGGCAACAAGATTGTTAGCACCAAGAAGAAGGCCAAGCTGACCTCTTCCGAGCTGCGAAAGAAGAAGAAGGGTAAGTCTACTGCGAAACCATCTCATGGTGTTATGACGAACATATTCACTAACATATTTTTCTTGCAGACCGTATGGCCCGCCGAAAGCGTGGTGAGGAGGTGTTCAGCGACGAGGATGATCTGTAAACGTTTCAACATACCCCACATCACGGCATCTCGATGACGCCTAGTCCTTGATGACTTAGAGGATTTTTTTTCCATGTTTCCTTTTGTTTTTAATTGATGAAAAATACGGATTGGTAACGGAAAAGTTGCGATGCGTTCTTGCGATGATTGTATGCTCGGGCTGCCGATAGAGAGGGCCTTCTCAATAGATTGATGGCCTGGACGAGTGTGGGACACCACGACCTGGGGATGGAGGACCCCCATGTTGTCACAAGCTCTCGCACCTTGGGCTATAGAGGAGGAAGAGGGTACATAGAAGCCCGAATAGACTTTTAGTAACAAAACCTCTTGAATTTATCTACCGTGTGCCTCTTTTCTGTGAATGTTGTGTAGATTCAAATACGCATGTATGGATGGAGCGAGGCTTTGTTGTTGGGATGAACTGTATACTACATGCTGGTTTGTTAGTTAATTCTGATTATGTGAATACCATCAGGAGACAGCTCAGTTTGGCTATATGTACAAACACAACTCGTGACAGTTCGCATCGTGTTCCATCTTGTCGGAAGTTCTATCACTTGATACTAACACAGTGCTAAGCAAAAGCAACTAGAACAATATTTGCTGCCCCTTCTCTGTCTAGCTAGGTTGATGTAGCTAGGTTGCTGATATTAACTAAAAAGATGTGTTTCCCCTCCTAAACACCATCATCGAAGCCCGAGTCCAATCCGACAACGCGACCAAGAGTGTCACTTCACGCAGACCCTCTCCTCACACAATCCCCATCATTCAAAAAGTCATCTTCAACCTCTAGGGTACATCTCATCCATCCCTCTTCCCAATCTCCCCCCAATCATCAAGCCAACAAGATCCGATTCTACTCGCCCATTCTCCCAACAAATCACCCAATCAGCGTGAATGGTTTAGTGGTAAAATTCTCCGTTGCCATCCGCAACGTTTCGGGGAGCCCTGGGTTCGATTCCCAGTTCACGCAGATTCCCGAGATGGCTCCGTCTTCTCGATCTCTTCTCCTAGGCGTAATTGGTTTAGTGGTAAAATTCTCCGTTGCCATCCGAGCAGCGTCGGGGAGCCCTGGGTTCGATTCCCAGATTACGCATTGAGATTTCTTTTTTTACTTCTGCTGCTTGGTGTTTTGTGTGTTGAAGATGGTTATGGAGTTGTCATGAACTTTGGTGGGGCTGCTTGGCCTGGGAGGACGATAGCTTTTGTGTGCTTTTGTATGTTGCAAGTGTTGGTCAAAGTATGAGATAATATCTTCTATTTTTGTCATCATATGTCCTGGGTATATATCATGTCTATGTAGCTCATTCATCTTACACGTCTAGCCCTCGTATATCCCATGTAGAATCTCTAATTCCACAAAACGTGATGGGTATATATATATATATACAATAACATAGAAACGAAAAAAAAGGGGGGGACGTAAAAAAGACGTGTGCTCATTATACGGCTTTAGCCATAAAGACGAACGTAGGGGTTACTCTTAGCTTCCCCCCTTACGCCTCAACAAACGCCGCCTTCTTGTTGCGCTTGATTCTAACCAACTGCAACATCTCCGTCCAGAATCCAGTCGGGGGCTCGATAAAGTGGGATTCGTAGGCGTCAATAGTTGGTTTTTGCCAGACAAGGTCCAGCTCACTGGGGCGGACAACTCGGGTGCGCTTCACGACCTTCCAGAAGATGAAGAGGATGGGTGCCAGGAGCTGCATGGTGTAGTTGCGGAAGAAGGCCGAGACATCCCAAGGCATGAAAGCCTCGTATCCGTATCCCCCAACCACGAGAAGCTGAATAACGAGGGCGATGATGGCGCAGTAAGGCTGTCCCCAGCCAACATAGGGCAGCGTCTTCCGGTCAACGCCTTGGGCCTTGCAAGCTTTGTAGAACCAGAGGTATGTGACAGACATGACGAGGTAGTCGATAATTCCACCGGCGGTGATCAGGCTGACCAACCAGTCGAGCACGACAGCAGAGCCGTTGCCAACTTGGAGGAAGGATAGGAACGGGAAGCACATGACGACCAAAAAGGCATTGATGGGCACACCCTTGCTCGTGCACTTGCGCAGGAATCGAGGGGCACGGCCCTCGAGAGCCAAGCCGTACAGTGACCGGGTTGCACAGTAGGTATAGGTGTTTCCAGCAGAGAAAATGGATGTCATCATGAGGGCGTTGACGATGTGAGGCAACACAGAGACACCCATGTTTTGCATGGCAATGACGTATGGCGAAGCTGCTGCAGTGCCGCTGCCCTTTCCGCCGTTAACCAGGTCAGACAGCGTCTTGTCGTTGTACGGAAGAATGATGCCGACCGCCAGGGCGCTGCCAATGAAGAAAATGCCAAAGCGGATGTAAATGGTCTTGAAGGCCGTCTTGATGTATGTACGAGGGCGCTGAGCTTCGGCCGCTACCATGGAAATATACTCGGGTCCGACGACGGCGAAAGCTGCGCTCCAAAGGCCTGTCAGAAAGCCTTCGAAGCGACCGAGGGCGCCCTGCGAATGGTACTCGGCGAAGGCTCCGGGATTTTTCCAGTATCGAAAGCCATAGGCATCGTGGTTCGGATTTCCTCCGACCATCGTCACGAAGGTGAAGGAGAAGAGGATGAAGATGAGAATAACCTTTCCACCGGATAGGTAAAATTCCGCTTCACCATAGGCTTTCACAGCGAGGACGTTTAGCAGACTACACATTCGACGGTTAGCAATTGTCCTTGGGCAACGAGAGAGAGAAGGTGGTGGAATCTAAAAGCGCGAGAGTCCCTTCCCAACCTTCGCCCCTTCTGGTAGGAGATGGAAATCTTACGCATAGCAAACGATAACGGCGGCACAAATACCGGCAGTCGGGCCTGGATTGGTAATGTTCTCGTCCCAAAAGGAGATGACAAGGTTGAGTGCCGTGATTTCGAAGGGAATCAGCAGAGCCTCGTACAAGAAGAAGTTCCAGCCAGCCATGAATCCCAAAGCATCATCGACCCAGTGACCTGCCAGGCGAATGAAACCTCCAGACACGGGCATGTAGACAGTCATCTCCGCCAGAGAGTTGTTTACCAGTCCGAGAACCATGGAATACAGAGCATAAGCCAAGAAAAGGCTGGCCGGTCCGGCTGTGGAAAGTCCACTTCCGATGCTGACGAAGAGAGCAGTACCAATCGAGCCACCGATGGCTATTAGTTGGATTTGACGATTGTTAAGTCGTCGCTGAAGGCCATCCGCATTCTCGATGAACTCCTGGGACCCCATCTCTGGGGACCCGGGAGCCTCGAACTTGGGGTGCTTTTCATCATCCGTAGTGGCCATTTTAGAGGTTAATCAGTAACGCAACGACAGTGTTGTCTCTTGCTCCGCCGTCATGAGAAAGTGTAACGATGGCCAGGTGCTTAATTGATGAGCATTGACAGACAGTAATACTGATCCTTTAGGTGGATGATTGCTGTGGGGAAAACCAACAGGAAAGCATCCGAGGACGGAAAAGGATGAGAGAGAGAGGAATGAAGTTCCACATGGGAGGAGTGATGGGCGAAGGAGGAGTATTTGTAGCAACTGTTGATAGGCGGCGAATCAAACGGGCCAGGGACACCCGAGAGTACCTATATGGCTGGGACTGGCCGAAAGAATGAACGAACAAATACTTAACCCGAACAACCAGGGACCGGCAGAAGAGCGAATACAACACCGAGCTCCTTAGAACCGCGATTAGATTGGACAGCATCACTGTGACGCCGAATCTTATGTGGGGGGAGGGCCGAACTGGAAACGCTTCCAATATGGTCTCAGGCCATTTTTTTTGCGCTTGATGCCGCGCAGTCGACTGTATTGGTCTTGGCACACTGCCCCAAAGCTGCTCTTGTGCTACAGCTGGCGAGTCGCTCTCTATTCTGCGCGCGTACCCTGCCATTGTCGTTCATGGTGGAGAAGCCAAGGAGGACGCCAGAGGAGAGCTAGCGCATTAGGCCCTGCTTAGAACGAACGGGATGAGCAGCCATCCACACAGAGGAGGGCCAGGGACCCAGATGGGTGAGCAGGGGGGAGGGCACAGTGTCGGATTTCCCAGGCCTCCCTGTAACTTGCTCCCAGACATTCTGTACTCGCGAGAGATGCTGGGTTGGACGTCCGTAGCTAATAGACGGTGTCGTCGCGAAAAGGAGGTATATAACATCCGGTGCTGTCGATAGTGATTAGTATTGAATAAAGGAGTAGAGAGGCAGGCAGTGGTACTGTACGACCCCGAGGACGTCTGAAAAGCTTCAGTATTGAGATCTTCAAAAGTCCAAACCATAAACGGACCAGCGATGCTTGACGCATCCGGGATCTTACCCGCCACGTGAAGCGAGGGAGCATGTCTCCTAGATAAACAACCGATTGTATGACGAGATTTCAGCTGTATGCATATATAGCCATGCTCATTAGAGTCGAGTAATAGAAATTTGTGTGAGGTTGAATTTTCATTTATTCTCCGACTAGGTATCCTTGATCTTGGACAGGTGCAAAGTAGCTGAGGCCGATGCGGTAAGATTGTTATGATCATCCAGTACCTGAGTTTCGAGATAGAGCCGCTACTCAACAACCGGAAACAAGGTTAGGATAAGTCTGCAAGAGATCTTGATGTTGCCTACTCAGCCAAGATCGGATCTAGAATCTCGAGATCGGCTCTCCAACCACCTCAATTGATCCGAGAGGACTGCGTTCCGTATGGAACATCGAGTGTTGCATTAAGCCTGAGATACAATTCGGCTCTGGGTCTTGTGTAGCCCTCGTAGCATAACACTATCCGAAATGCATTCGGCTGTCTCTTACACTCTTATCATTGAAAAAGAGGCCATCTTCGTTGTTTCGTTTCATCATCTCCACAGCGTTCATCTCGATTGCCCAACTCCGCTGATGAGCACTGTGCAAATCGGCTTTTTTACTACATGTCGCCGGAAGACCCTTCGCCACTCGGCGGAAAGTTTTAGGCTTAGGCAAAAGCCTTTTCTTCTGGTAACTTTCCCATCACGGCTGGACGAAGCGCATGCTGCTAAACGGACATGCGAGTGACGCTCCTCAGCTCCTCGGCCAACGCTTGAAAGCGGCATGATCCAGCTGCTTTCGTCGAAGGAATGAATCCCCTGCACATAACACTGACGTCACTCCGCCTAAGCCTTGTCCCACAACTAACTCGCCTTGGACTAGAGGGTATCGCCGATCCGTGGCTCAGTGGACGATGTTCCTGGTCGCACAGTTTCGAGACAGTGGCTGATGACGAGACGGAATAGCAATTGTGAGTAGAATCGGCATGACGAGTGCGAGGGCCCGAGAGCTATGAGCGTTGTGCTCTATTGTAACTGCTTGGATGAATTCCGGTCACTGGAGACACCGCATGTGTGATGATAATCTGAGATCGCAACACCCCTTGGTAGCGAGCAAGGCAAGATACCGGGAAGGCCAGCCGAAAGCCGCAGCCGGATTTTGGTGGTTGCCCCGATCCTTGTCTCGAGTGCTGGCGAGAAGACAAGGCTGCCGGACGAGTACATTCCAACAAAAGGCCGTACAGTTGGAGGAGCTGCATGCGGTAAGCTGGACGACGCGAGTCAGGACGGCAACGAAACCATAGCCTACATCATCAGAGCCGTACTTGTGCTCGTTCGTATTTTGCCTTGGCTGAAGGCGACGGCGAACCTCGACAGCCAAAGCTAGCCAAAGCGAATCAAACGGGCAAATGGTGGTTTGTTGAGGCGAGAAAGCAAGGAATAAAACGTCGCCAGTTGATTTGTGGACTCGTTTTGTTTCCCCACTTTTGGGAATGGGGCCGTATACGGAGTGCGTTAGCAACTCTCCGTACTTTTTGTGTGGGTTTCTGTTAACGCGCGGGCTAACTCCGAGCATGGGGTCTCTTCGGAGTAGTAATACCTCGCAGAAACCGCTCATTCTCGCTAGTTTCTGACGGTCCTCAGGTTTCTCTCTCGTACTTGCGCGCTGACCTGGAGAGGCGGTGGAGTCTCCGCCTTCGCACTGTGACAGTGTACGAGTTCTGTACGCGACTCTTGGGTGCAGCGCCTGTGCTGTAAAAAGTCCCTCCACTGTAGGTGCTTTGCTCGGGGGCCATTTCAAGGCGTAATAGACGGCGCCGACAGTCGTTTCAAGGCCTCAGCGACGCCGGGGTTTTTAGTGGCAAGTCACCAATGAGCGTCCAGAGCGCCGTAAGAAACGGACGCTAACGGTAAATTATAGCGCAAGCCTTTCTTCTCTCAGCCTCTTCTGCGTCGATGGCGGCTTTTGCGCTGCATCTCAATACCTACTCGCTGAGGCCTCGTATCGCTCGCTGCTGTGACTGTCGCGTGACCTCTGTCTACCTATCCAGGCCAAAAGGAAATGGGCTTTCTGTAATAATCGGTAGGCATTTGTATAGGTATGTTTTACCTTCATATTCGCTCAGATACTGTTGTCGACATTCTGCTGTCGTCGAGTCTCCATACATGTACCTTCACCAAAGACTTGCCCGACCTTTGCCACCGCCGCCCGGAGCATTCTTACTGCTCGTAGCATCAAGTACAAATTAGAAGGACATCATCCCTAAAACTCGCACTGGTGAGAAAAACTCTGCCAAGTCCACTCACACTCAGCTTGGTGAGCCTGTGGGGCCGTTTCGAGACGGTGCGTGTCGAGTAAAGCCAACAGGCATGAGATGGGGCAACAGAGCGAAGAAAAAAAATGAAGAGGAAAAAAAATCCATCAGAACATTCTTCATTGTTGAAGCATGTGAAGATGACCTCTCTCGTTTGGGGTGAAGCCATCTCCGCGCATAGAGATGAAGCTCAACAAATTTAGCAGCAACGTTGCGATAAGGCTATACATGTTAAGCGAGGCATGGCCTAGAACTGAGTAGATGCGGCCCCGGATTTGCATTGCCATTTTGGGGAAATCACATGTCAAAGATATGGCATTTTTGACGCTGATGCAATTTGTTGAACCAAAGTGAGCGCGGAGCATCGTCTGTCTGCGTTGGCGGTGAGGATGTCGATAGTCTGGCTCTCTGGTATTTGAAGCTTTTGTTCGTGTAATCATCTTCATCGAGCATCCATTCGAAATCCAATGGCTAGGGCTGTACTCGGCGCCTCTCACCGCTGCCGAGCTAGAGCTGCCTCTATTATACTCCTTCAGTAGCCATATAAACCGTAATGACGTAGAGAAATGAATCAATCCAAATCAGATGAAATTATAGACTAGAAGCTGAATGCAAGAGAATGCTTCCAGACTTTCTTCATGTCAGTTCTGATAGGTGGGGTAAAGAATTCTTGGACGCTAAAATTTTCTTGGTGAAAACCGCCATCCCACCTCGCTGTTGTTATCGATAACGAAAACCACAAAAAAAGGAAGCCTGCAAAACAACACCAAGATACTGTATCAAGGCATCCCAAGGCAGCTCGTGTCTGTCTCAGGACCATACAAGTGACAGTATTTGATACCCGGATCCATCTATTCCTGGTTCGTGGAGGCTCTGTGACTGCCGGGGCTGCCGTTCAACACCAACAACTCCAAGTATCAGCATCAACCCCACCATGGATTCAGCATCTGAAAATGTCAATACATGCACCCTGGCCGCCCTGGTTGGCAGTGCTGCAGCGGAGCAACTCATAGCGACACATGCATCTCATCTGGTCTCCTTATCTAATGAACCGACCCCAGTCTCATCCACACAGCACTCGCCCTCAGAACTCCTCGCCATAGGTCTGGCCGCTCTCGATGCCTTCCTCCAAGCAACCGTCACCGGTCCTGTCCTGCCAGCAAATGAGTCAACTCACGTCGAGAAGCTATTTGTCAGTGCTTGGAACTCTAGCAAATCGGAATCTCATGACTCTGCCGTTGCTCTGCATCAGCTTCGAAGGGCCTGCCTGAGATATTTCGAAGTTGATGGCGTTGTTCCTTATGCCCATATACCTCATTTGGAACTCTTCTCGCTGGCCAGGTACATCTTGGTTGACACACTAGCGTCCGAAACAAAAGACATCTTTGAGTTGCCTTCAACTGAAGGCACTTTATCAAAGCGTAGCCTTGCGTGGGAAAGATTGCGTGTCAACGTCTGGCATTACAAGATTATCACGCAGCCAAGCTTGGGCTCATCATCCAACTTCAACAAGAGCTCACAATGGAGTGATGTGCCCACACTGGCAACACAAATCAGCAACGAAATAGACGCTCTGCGAGCGAAAATTCTCAACTCTGAGGTCTGGGCCACGGAAGAAACCTGGACCAGAGAAGAGAAGGCCTTGTTTCTTATCGAAGCGGCTAACAACTACATACTCCTTGGTCGTAATGACAAG